AAGACCATATATTGACTTCTTCGACCTACAAACGACATTAGGAAGTAAAGAGTTCCCTTAATATCAGCGTAACCATCTGGTAGCTTCATGTAAATGATTTCCTCCAAATCTCCATTGAGAGAAGCATTAGAAATGTCCAATTGATTCAGAAACCACTTCTTAGAAGCTGAAACCTTCAATAGTAACTTAACAATAGCCATCTTAGCCACAAGAAAAAAAGTTTCAGTGTAATCCAAACCTTCTTTCTGAGTATAACCTAAAAACAATCATGGCTTTGTACCTCTCCAAACTACCATCCGCATGAAACTTCACAATAAAGACCAATTTGCACCCAACTGTCTTCTTTCCAGGTGGCAAAATAGTGATTTCCCAAGTATTAGTTCTCTCCATAGCATCAATTTCCTTATCAATAGCTCCACACTATTATTTGGAATCCTTTGCCTCATTATATGATTGAGGGATTGAAAATTTTGAAATGTCATTGATGTATAACATATGAGATGGTGAGATTTTAGAGTAGGAAAGAAAGGTGAAATAGGATAAGAGACATCATTGTTGACAACATAACAATGATAGCCTTGTAAATGAACAGGGAATTAGTGATCCTGCGATTAGAAATTTGTGGTGATGGAAGATGAGAAGAAATGGTATTACCTGAAGACAAAGGATCCATTGGTGTGAAGGTATCAGTAGCAAGAACAACAGACTTCTGAGTATTCGGCAATGGGAACAAATCTTCATGAAACTCCACATTCATCGATATAAACACCACATTGTTCTCCAAATCCAACAACTTATAGCCCTTGAAACCAAAATGGTAGAAACTTGTGTCTCTGTTTAGGTGAAGTAGATCCATAGCAGAGACAACCAAAAGTTTTGAGTTGAGAATAGTCTGGTGATTTACCTGTTAGGACCTCATAGGGAGTCTTGTTTGACAACAAAGCAGAAGGTGTCATGTTGATCAAGAAAACAGTTGTTAATATACAATCTCCCCAATATGGCAAAGACATATTAGATTGGAACATCAAAGCCCTAGCCATATTGAGAATGTGTTGGTGCTTCCTCTCAACAACTAAGTTCTATTCTGGTGTTTCAGGACATGAATAAAAAGAAACGATGCCTATTTCTTTGTAAAACTCTGTGAATGCCAGTTCTTTAGCATTATCAGAACTAACCGATTTAACTCTTGTGTTGTATTGATTCTCAACTAGTTGAATCAAAGCAGTAACCATTGTGAGTGCTTCATTCTTAGTTTTGAGTAAATAGCCCACGTTGCTCTGGAGTGATTATCAACGATAGTTAAAAAATACTTAAAACCTTCAGTTGTCTCCACTGAAAATGGTCTCCAAACATCAATGTATAAAAACTCAAATGTCAAATTACAAATGTTGTTTGTAGAAGGAAATGACAACTTCTTTTGTTTGGCTAAATGACAAACATGACAATACGCTGCCTTCTTATTCTTATACCTAGTAATTCCTAAAACTTCAGAAATATAATCCAATCTTGAGTAAGATGGATGTCCAAACCTCTTGTGTCACATACTCACATCCACGACTGCAATCACCGACATTGCAGGAGACTGTGTATCCATCACATAGAAATTTCCAATCCTTTTACATTTTCCAAGCATCAACCCCTTGGTAAGATCATGTATTTGACAACAGGAAGGATAAAAAATTACTCTAGATCCAAGATCTTTGGTCAAAGAGCTGATACTGATGAGGTTCAATCTAAATTTTGGTATAAACAAGACTTTGAGCACAATATCTTTGTTTATCCAAACTGTGCCGACTCCACTGATTTTAACATGGGGAGCTATTGGAAGATTCAAAAAACTCAAAATAGCAGTATCTAATGACTGAAATAAACTCTTGTCATGGGACACATGATGTGTAGCCCAGAGGCAATAACTCAAGTGTCACTAGAGAAAGAGTTCTGAGAATCCGCCAAGATGCCAATAAAACTATATGTGAAAGGGGACAGACCGAGAAGAACTTGCTTCATGCTGAGGAGAAACATTTTGTGGTGAAACACTCTGAGTGGATACATTCTGCGGCTGTAACTGAGAACTGAACATCGCAATCAAATTCTGTAACTGATCATTGGATAAGTTACCAACAAGACCTTCAAGTTGACTTGTCGAGTTATCAGAAACTGATGACATAGTAACATGAGCTGCCACTGGTTGAGATTTCTGACCCTTATTAGAAAATTTTCCCTTAGGACTAAAGCCTGGTGGAAAACCATGCATCTTATAGCATCTTTCTGCTATATGGCCAACTCTGTTGCAAAATGAACATATAGGACGACCTTTGTTTAGTCCATTTTGAATATACATGATAGCAGGTGGGCCAGTGGTAGAGTAAGGGTCTAAATGGTAACCGAGGAATCTGGCTGAATCCGGCTGAATTGCTGAATCTGGCTGAATTTTTAGTGATTTTTAGCTGAATCTGGCTGAATTTTTACATTTTCAAATGGTAACTGCTGAATCTAGCTGATTTTTTTTTTTTGATTTTTAGCTGAATCTAGTTGAATCTGTCAAAATAATTAAAACTTTAACTGAAAAATATCGTCAAATAATTATAAATATTAATAGAATAACTAAAAAGAATATCTAAATAAAATAGATAAAATTATCTAATAGTCTAATTAACTCTTATACTAATAAATATATTCTAAATTAATATTATTATTAATAATATATTGTTAGCAAAATTGAGTTGTTCTTCTAAATTTAATTTTTGAACTATTAAAAAGATGTAATTAGTAATAAAAAGCCTTGTCAAAGTTTTATTGAAAAATTAATTTAAAAATAAATATGATAATATAGTATAGATTATCTAATTGATTTCTCATTGTTCTCGAGTAGTTTACAATCATTAATATGATTAGGATGATTAAGAAATTTTTTTAAAAAATTGATATTTAAATATTATTTTAGCATTAGTATGAGTTGTTTTTGCGAATTTTTTTAAAAATTATATTTAATTATCTCAAAGTAATTAAAATTATCTAAAATAATCTATAGTTATCGGAACATAAATTTCTTTCTTGTCTATTCAGGTAATGATTTTATGTATCTGAATTATTCATATATCGTATTTGTATGATCTAACTTATTTTAATATAAATTTGATGTGTAATTTTTTATGTCCAAAATATTTTAATTCGAGTTGTGTAATCGCTATAATCCGAATTTTTACCTGAAATAAACATACTACGTATCTGTTGGTGTTGAAAAAACTGCTGAATCTAGCTGAATTCAGTTTTATGCAAATGGTAACTGCGGAATTGCTGAATCTGGCTGAATCCAGCTGAATAATGTTTTCATGTTACCATTTAAGGCCTAATTCACCTTAGACACCTGAAAAGCTACATAACGAGTAACAGCATTGGAAAAACCCTTATGACTGCTATCCTGATCTAAAATATTGTAAATTTCTGCTAAACTGGGAAGAGCCTTCTTTGCAATGATCTGTCAGCGAACAATAACATATGACTCATTCAAACCAGCTAGAAATTTGACTATCTTAGCTTTCTCTGCCTTCTGATGCAGACGAGTAGCTTTTCCACAGTTACAAGGATCATCCAAATCCTATGTAATGTCCAGTTGGTCCCAGAAAGTATTTAAAAGAGTGTAATACTCAGATAGAGACATGATTCCTTGACGAAGATCATGGATCTCCTGTGTTAGATTATATGTGCGTGGGAGATTTGTCAAATGAAACCTACCAAAGAAATCACGCCATATATCCGCAACATCGTTCATACGTAAGATGCTACAGTAGATCTGGGGAGAAACGGAATTAAGCAACCAGGATTTCACCATACTGTTGCATCTAGACCATAGACGAAAATTTGGATCCGATTCCAAGGGACGAGGTAAAGATCCGTCTACGAAACCTAGCTTATTCTTAGCATCCAAAGAGATGTGCATAGCCACACTCTCGTCACCATAATTCGTTTCATCTAAACGATGAGAGATGATGTTCAAACTTGGATGATCCGCACTATGCATGAAGAACAGAGATTGAGTCGGATCTTCAGATCCCGATGATACAACACTTCGTGAAGCTCCAGCGATTCGAGAATTAGCAGCTGCAGGAGAATCCGGAGGGGAATTGGTAACACTGGTGGATCGCGACGATTTTTGAACCGATGAACTCGCCAACGCCTTCGAACGAGCTGATATCCGAGTAACACGAACACCAAACACCATTGGATCGTGAGAAAAGAAGAAATCGAGCTCAAAAAGTGAAGGAATCGAAACGAAATCAGGAGAACTTTGAGCTTGATGGCTGTAATAGCATAGTACAAATGAAGAAGATGATAGAGAAAATTTGTTAAAAAGAGAAATTCTCATTCATTTTCTTAAAGATAGAACTATATAATTGCTCTATTATATACAAGAGTGGTATACTAATTAAACCAAACTAAACCGAATAATGAAATTAATCTAAACCGGCCTATATACTCCAATAACATTTCCCAGGTGTCTACCAATAAACAAAACACGGTCTCTCAAATCGTTGACTTCGACCCATTTACCAGCCTCTTCATCTAGCCTACTCACTCTACATGTTGGGAAGTCTACTTCAACCAGGAAAGCTCATCACTACCAAATGGAACGAAAAAGTTGAGTTTGTTAATGAGGTGTTAGGGAAACCGGTACCAGCGAAGAAGGATCGATAACGAAAACGTTCCCATTAAAAAAAATGCATAAAATCTGCCTCTAAAAGTGAACAGCTCCCTACATGAAGCAGTTGAGAAGGAGACGGAAATTGGTTTTGGGGTTGAAACAACCGAAGGTATTGGAACGGTTTAAATCAAGTGAGCCGGTTAAGACATTGGTTTTGGGATAGACATGAGACAACGTCGCTTTTTGATAATGTTGTTATGTTCCTTCGTTCTGTTGATTTTTGTACTCTTGTTTCTCATAACCTTGGATTCATAACAGATTAGTAAGCAGATGAAAAACAATAAGGAAATATATGGATTGCGTGTTTTATGCTTTAGTGACCGAAAATTAGGAGGAACAAGAAATAATATACCAAAAGACATGTAAATTGCCACAATCTGCTGGCTCAACTTCTAATACTGATTCCTTTCGACCTGACCCGAGAGGAACGGGCGTCTCTCTAGCTCCCTAGCCCCTTCTTGTCTACAAGCTCCTGTAATCAATAACGGTCACCTCTTCCTCCGGAGCATCTAGGTCTTGGTAACTGCACCATTTTCTCATACATTAGTATCTTGGAGACACTGCACTTTCGATCAAAGCCATGTTAACCATGTTACCTGCGTAGCCGTCTAGGATCCTGTCTAAAGGCCGGAGACAAAAGAAATGGTGCGGGTCCACCTCTGCCGTTACCTTCGAAAGGAGGATTGGGTCCACCAGGGAACATCTGCATTGCAAACTCAGGTGGTGCAGGTACAAATGGTCCTAGTGGCCTGCTCAAATTATCATTCAGACACCGTTACAGATTATTGATTAAACACAGTAACTCTTTAATTTACTCTGAAAACAAGAACATGAGTAATCCTTATTAAACCTACCCGGCACCAGGAACAGGCATCAGCATTGGTGGTGGGTTTATATCCGATGAGAAGGGAGGAACATGAACACCACCTTGTCCACCAAATGCATCGTACCCAACTTCCCTAGGATTTCCACCATCACCATCACCTCTCTGTTGATCCTCTGACCGATCATTTCTGTCATTTCCATTAGCACGTCCATCACGCTCTCTGCGTACACCTCGATCATCCCTCAGTCTGTTCTCCATGCCTGGTCTACGTCTCATAGGTCTATCTCTCTGTCAAAAGAATATTTCACCCGCATAAGTAAAACTCAAAACAAAGCTAAATAAATGAAAATTCAAAGAAACAGACTACTCAACATTCCGTTAAATGATAAAAAAAAGATCATGTACCGGGCCAGATTGCTGAGTAGCTGGTTGTCCTCCTGGAGCATTAGGATCACTGCATATGGCACATTTTTTTCATTAAGAACCTGTCAGAAACGACAGTAGAAGAATCCAAGATAAAGACTTTACATACTTCATATAGTTCTGAAAATACAGTTCTTCCCGAACTTTGGTAGTCAGCTCTGTGACAAGCTCAGTGTGTTTCAGCTTGAGATGCTTGTACACAAATTCAGCCGCATGAAACAGCTTCGTGCAGCCCTTGGCTCCACAACCATATTTCCAACCATACTTCTCATCTCTAATCTTTCGGACATGTGGATCTAAAGCTTCAGTAGCGGCAGCATCTATCTTCTCTTTGGCAGCCATCACTTCCAAGGGATCTTGACCTTTCAACCTCTCTTGCCAGTGAGAGTCGAATTTACTTTCACTCTCATCTCCTTTTGCATCAGAACCTTTTCCTTCAGCTCTAACATGCCGCATACCCTTAGCTTCATTTGATTCAACCTTTCCGTAATAGTCCACACCATGAACACGCCAGAGATACGTGACAAGTGTGTCAAGCAATTCAACGCCCTCAAGGCCTTTCACAGATGTCAACCCCCTTATGATTATAACTGGACCAGTCGAACCACTGTGTAACTTTTCTCTACCCAATTTGTCATTTTCTGAACCTGACAAAACGTTTTCCTCAATTCCTTTCTCCGAGTCTAGCTTACGCACAAGGGCTTGTGCTTGTTCAATGTCAGTTAAGATTCTCTTTGGATCAGAAGTGAAACTGGGTGCTTTCGGTGCGGCTGACAGAAGTTCAGTCTCTTTAGCTTCCCTGCTACCATGTCTCTTTCTTTTACCACCACCAGCTGCTTCATCATCAGAAATCTGCTCACTGGCTCTGCTGGATTTATCCAATGCTGTCACTGCAGGACCTCTGGAACAGATCGAGGGAAACTGTGAGCTTTAGAGATGACAGAATGGTGACCATAGTAATGGCCAAGGAAATGTTCTTACAAATCTATTGCCCCGCTCTGTAAATCAAGTAAGAAATCCTTCGCCACCTTCCGTGCAAGTTCATTCCTCCTGAAAAATTGAACGGAATATAAACAGTCAGAAACATTTTTTTTATTTTAAATGTTCTTGAACTACAAGATTTTAATACCAAGACTACAAGAGAGCAGTGTATAGAATTAATATTATACCAATCAAACTGTGGCAATTGCTCATGAACTCACCTTTCTATGACAGAGAGTAAGTTTGTTGGATGATACTTATTCTTCAACCTGGATGCATAACATACATAAGCATATTAATAGTTAGCTTAAAGAATATCCCAAAAGAGTGTAAGAGATGTAAACAGATAGTAGAGTTCACCATTCTTCCTCTTTGTGACTGTTAAAAAAGACACGTTTCTGTGTTGTAATATACTCTGACTTATATTCTTGATATCTGCATCAGGAAAAAAGTATTACCCCAGCCGTTTTACACCACAACTGATTAAGCACCAAGACGAAGATGCAGTTATAACAATACCTGCGTTCAGCTTCAGATGGCAATATATCATCTTCCAACTCCTGGATAAATTGTTTGTATGACATCAATCCATCCCTGGATAAAGGAAATACAAAGGTATTTATTGTTAAATGCAACAGCAAGGGAGTCTACAAACAGCACTAGTTGTGTGCGACTATCTTAAACGTAAAACAGATAAAAAAAATTTACACTATTGGTGTTATATTGGCGTTATCTTGTACTCAACAGGAATAATGGAATAGAAGCAATAAATTGAACATCACATGTTTCAGATATGATTTTCTAGTAGCTAATCTGATCAATAGTGTCTCTCAAACATTCACTTTAACTTTCAGGAGCTTCAAGGAAGAAAGCATATATGCCTCATTGAAGATTGACAGTTCATAACTCCTAGTATACATTTACTAGATTATTAAACCACTACCAAAAATAAACACACCATAGGAAAAAGAGAACAAACCCATGAAATACAAAGGAAAAATGAACAAGTATGAAGGAAACTTAACCTTTGGGTATTTCCACTGTTGGAAGCATCACCATAACCTCCACGTCCTCCCTCCCAGTCTGTCAAAAGTAATACACAATGAAAAGGTATATATTGATATCAATCTTCTAAAATAGATCGCTTGTTCACAAATAGAATTGTGAATTAGTTACTCAAAACTATTTCCAATCCACAAATACGATGAACAATGCTAGTCAAATGAACCAGATGTGCCCAATTTATAAGAACCCCCAATGACAGTCATCTCTAACATTCTCACAAGAGTCCATGGCAAGAAGCAAGAAGCAAGATGCAAAAGCGGTAATACTAGTTCTCACAACTTAAAAAACATCTTAGAAAGAGATGACTCACCTTGATAGCGACCCATAAAGCGGCCATGAGGCCTTTCATCACCATAATTAGGCCTCCCACCCATTTCACGGTCATATCCTCCACCATGGTCATATCCAAATCTAACATGCAAAGAATGAATTGGAGTACAGATTAGGAAATCTCGAAAACGGTGGGATATAACAATCATTGATACAAGAGGATAATTCAAGTATGAGAAACAATAGTGATACACTTGTATATCCTCAGCTAAGAAACAATGCAAAGAGTAATCATATGAGTGATGCACTTTCAATTCGTTGTTTAACTATGAGCTTGTTCGAAGAAGATCCAACATTATCCTAAGAAGATCCAAAATTTTTACTAAGCATAGCAGATGACGATTACCTTCTGTCCGGTGGTCCATAGCCACCACGGCGAGAATCATAGCCATTATCATCCCTCCGGTAACGCTTCTGAGGAGGCGAACGACGCTGTGGAGGAGAGTGCCGTCTATCTCTGTACGGTGGCGGAGGACTCAAGCTAGGCCGTCTCTTGTAATCCCTACGAGGCGGTGGGAGAGGCGAACGGTCACGGTCACGGCGATTAGGCGGGCGGTCAATGTCTCTCTCGTCACGCCGCTCTCGTGAATCTCTCTCACGGCGTTGCGGAGGCTGTTCCTGGTCTGGTTCTTGTTCCTGTTGCGGCAGAGAGGAAGAAGGCGGTGGAGGATGTGGTGAAGAAGAGGTTGATTTCTCAGGGAGACGGTTATCGACGGATTCAGACGGAGGAAGAGTTTCATCGGCCATTTTGATCGGAACCCTAAATCGGGAAATTCACGGTTTAATATTATTCGACGATATTCACTCCAAAGCCTTTCTTCTACAGTGAAACTCTTAATTCAAGTGTTGGCCTTAGAGTCAGAGGCCCATCTCTGTCTTCATACAAATCCAAATTTTCTTTTGTAAACAAATTTAACGTAAGCCAAGTGAAAAGTGAAAGTGCCACTAGTTAAGTTAACTAAAATACTCAAAATCAGAAAATGGAGACTTATTAACTTACCTTAATAAATAAAAAAATGTTGAATGAAAGATGTTAAAAAAAAAGCTGAATTTATTAAAAAGTAAATAGATAAATATGATATTATTGTATATGACTTAACGTTTCTATAAAATAGTAATGGTGGTCCTTTTCTTTTTAGAATTAGTACTTTACTATATTATTTTATTTTTTCTATTCATTTTAAAAATATTTATAATTTTTTTATTTTTTTAATAATTTACAATACAATTTCTTTTATTCGTATAATATTTTTTACACGTGTGAAAATCTAATCGATACATTTGATAAGTGTTACGATCATATCATGTGAGTTACTAGCTTTGAAAATCAAGTTTTTTATAATAAGGTAGTTTATCACTCGATCACGTGAATCTTGAAAATTATTTTCACGATAATAAGAACTTATAAAAGAGAAAGATCACTTAGTGAGACTACGAACAAACAAAAATATACAAACGGTACGATCCCGCAGAGAAAAATGTTCACGTAATAGTACTAGTACTACTATACATATATTCAGATTCGACTAATCAAAAATAAATGAACATATATATTTCACCTAACAAAGTAATATTAACTGAACATAACGATCGTTATGCAAAACTTATGTTGCATTAAGACATAATATATAGGTAGTGTTTAGGCAAATTTAACCGATTCATCCATGGACAATTCTACGGTACAACAAGAGAGAATTATCCTTTTTATTAATGTGAACTGCAGATAACAATGTTTTGAATTACAATGAAATAAAAGTTCGTAAGGGCTGCTAGGATGTTGAAGTAATATCATTTGTGTATGTTTTTGGCTTTGCCTATTGATGAACCGTACCTTTCATGGTGTTGGTGTGTATCTCTCATGATTGCTGCTAAAGGTTGTACAATTACAGCTTGTACGTTTGCACTTTGAATATGCATTTTGTGATCAATTCTATATGTCGAGCTAATGATTTATAAATGATTTACATATAAGTTTTTCACTATTTTATAATTTTGATAAATGTTGTACTTCGATTTGATCTAATTAATTAATTAATTTGTGAAAATTCAGATAGATTCAACCATTCCATAAAAAAAATATAGCCATTGAAGTTGATAATTTCGAAATATCCAAAGACAGGATATAATAAAAAGACATTTCTTCTAACTTCACTTTAAAGTTAACTTGTCCAAATAAAATTAATTCCCCATTCCAAAAAACATTGAGTGCAATCTCAGATCTAATCACATTCCACCAGATGCTCACCGCCAACATTCTCGCCGTCCTCTTCCTCCTCACTTTCTGCTACGGACAGACTCCTCCGGCACCAGAACCGACCGCCGCCGACGGACCTTCATCTCCGGCGAACTGTCTAGTATCTATGCTAAACGTATCAGACTGCTTCTCGTACGTTCAAGTGGGAAGTAATGAGATCAAGCCTGAACCTGCTTGTTGCCCGGAGCTTGCTGGGATGGTTCAGAGCTCACCGGAATGCGTTTGTAATCTTCTCGGCGGTGGCGCATCGCCGCGTTTTGGAGTTAAGCTTGATAAACAGAGAGCTGAGCAACTTTCAACAATCTGTGGTGTGAAAGCTCCATCTCCTAGTTTGTGTTCAGGTACATTAACTTATTGCGTACACCTACTTTTCTATGTAATTTGGACCGTCCGATACGATCAAACCCTATCCAACGGCTGGCTTAGCGGACCACTATTCCTAAATTCACTAATTATTTATCTGAGTGACATTGCTTTAATTTAACTCAACTTTATATAACAGGAAATATTCCTAAATTAAGTAAGAGGAACTAATTAATCTCTTTGTAATAAAAGAAAGAAACTGTAGAGTCTTTGGAAATAATTGTTTTTTTTTTTGTGGTTAAGTTTTGGAATTAATTGTTGGTTTTTTATAAAATATATATATATATTGTCTTTTCAATAATAAATTTGGTTAAAATATAATTTTTTGTTTTCTTGGATAGTTCTAGGTTTTCCGACGATCTCTCCTGCCGGAAGTGAAGATTCATCTGCAGGTATATTTATCATTTTCGTAGTTTCAAAATATAATTTAGTTTAAGAGTTCAAGATCAATGATCCAATATTTGTAGTTCTATAGTTTTAGAAAACAAACATAAATATTTTGGTTTTTAATTTATTACCTTACCTCTTACTAAAGTTGTCTTAATTAATAAAGTCCTTAGTAACATTAGCTTATAAAATTTCAGGTTCTGAAGGATCGGATAAAGATAAGAAAAATGGAGCTATGACTACTAAAGATTATGGAGTAGCTTTGAACTCCTTAGCCTTAATATTATTGTTCACGTTTCTTTCTTTATTTTGAGCATTACATGACTTCACTAGGTGATGAAGCATATATTCTACTATCATCTCTTTTTGTGATTCATAGTACGAATCTCATGTGTTTCTTATGGAACTTGAATTATATTATAAGTTTATGTATAGTTTAGTGAGCTTAAGTTCTGGATGTTATGAATAAAGATCTTCCATCTTTAAATACAAATTTATGAGGTAATTGAGTCAAGTACCGTAAACCGTAAAATCGAAAAATTGCGTTTTTCCGTCAAAACCGTAAAATCGAAAAATTGCGTTTTTCCGTCAAAACCGTAAAATTGTGTTCTCGCCAATACAGTAAAATCACGATTTTGGTGGAAAATTTGCGGAATTACGTTTTTCATCAAAACCGTAAAATCGGAGAATTGTATTTTTCCGCCAAAAACCGTAAAGTCGAAAAATTGCGTATTCCAAAAAATTGTGGAATACGGTCTTTCCTTCAAAACCGCAAATAATTTAATAAGAAATAATTTATTAAAATTTAAATATTTCATAAAAATAGAAATTTATAAATGTAAAATATAATAATTTGAAAATTATTTAGTTGTAATTGTAATTAAAATCATAAAAATATGATTAAAATGAAGACATGTCAATTGACTCAATTCTTGTAATTGGGCGGCCCATTGTCCATATGGTCAAGGCCATATTGTCCGCGGACAAAATTGGTCGTATGCCCAATTAGACCATTTGTTTTTTGGTCCGGACCATAGGCCGCCCATGTGTATTTGGACTGGGCAAGCCCATGGGCCGCCCGCCTAATTGACAGCTCTATAATTGACCACTGAAGTGGTAAGATCCAAGCTACTTTCGACAACTTAGCAATGCAATATGAAGATATGCCAAAGGCCGAGCTAGCCGAGACAATTTCAATTCTAAGATTCTGAATCTTTGAATATAACTCGATGCATTTACGTCACATTTGATTTTACCGTATCCTTATAAGCATTGTACTCCAAGCTGCTTTGTTTCCTTCCTTACGTATCCTACAAAATGCTTCTCAGCTACTCTTAGAAGCTCAAATTTGCAGTGCATCGACAACAACGAATTGCAAACTCTACCATCAAAAAGAGTTATTGGGTTTGTTATGTATGCACAATGACAATGCGTGTGTTTAGAAATCCGTGAACGAGAAGTTTTGATGCAAGAGTCAGAAAATCTATCCTTATCCAAATAAACATTGCTGTCATGTACCATATTCTGCCTCACTTCATCATCTTCAATCCAGAGCCTATCTCACAGAACATAGAGTAGAGAATACTTGTCATGCAACTCGAGTTACTTCCTGTACATAGCTTATTCTCATCCCATTGTCTTTCTCACTTTCTCCACTTCCTCCCACTTTCCATCAATAACAATATATATGATAGTAGCACATACGACCCTATATCATTTGGATGCAATCTCATGAGCCGCTTCGCCAAAATTTCTCCTATGTAAGGATTTGAGAGTGTCCAGCAAGAATAGTTATTTCGTAGCTATTCTGCTTGGCCAAAGAGATTAATCATGAAGCCATGGTGTTCAAATTTGAGTTCAACGTTATGGCTTGGGTTAATCGATCATAGGCCCACCAACCTTCTATTAACCACCCTAGCATTGCACCACATTTAGCATACAGTGTAAGCAGAGCGGTTGAGAGAAGCATATCATGTTTAATCATGTTGCTTTGTTACATATGAATAGACCCTAACACACAAAGCCAATATAGTGCAAATACAGTATAAATATGCACAAGGCGCTCTTAATAGACGCTTTGTTTGGCTTCAAGCCATCTCTTTTATCCAACTTTACTTCGTAAAGTTTAAGACAGTTGACCACGAGGTGATAGGCTAGTGGTTCTAGTCTGGTAGAAGAGTCGCTATGTTGGCTTAGGGCATGGATCGATTTTCCCCAGACGCAGAACTGCTCAACTTTATCTTTTTGGCCATGCGGGTATAGACCTATTTCTTACGGTCCATTTCAAAACTTGGGAGGAATCTTACCCGTGGAACACCCTCTTCCCAGGGATTAGTTCTAGACCCCTCCATAGGCATAAGAATTTACCCTGAATTATTAAAAAAAGAAAAATTAAGACAGTATGTGTAACTTTGATCATAACACACAAAACCAATATAATATTCCAAGAAACAACATTTCTTCTTGGCATTCTATCGAAAAATTCTCTCACCATTAATTCTAAAGCCTTAATATTTTCAAAATTGTTAAAATTGGTAATTATAATTAAATATTAGAATAATTTATTTAAATGATTAAAACATAATGTACTATAGTTTATATTCTTATAAAGGTCAAAAATTCTCAATAAATGTGGGAAACGTTATGATGGTATATGTAACACCCCAGTTTTAAAAATATAGTGGTGCATGCGGAGAAGTTTAAAAAATTAATTTTGCCACCTATGTCACCAAAAGTGCTATTATTTTTCCGGCCAACTGTCCGGAGAGAACTCCACAGTTAAGGGTGGTTGAGCTGGAGCAATTTTAGGATAGGTGACCTTCCGGGAAGTGACTGTCGGAACTATGTGAGTGAGAACAAAACACAGGAAAATATCATGTTGTGATTTATATGGTCGATAAACAAGTCTTTAAAGCCTCTCGGACGTAGCGAAACGGCGGTCGGACACTGATGGGCCCACGGGCCGAGAGAGGACGTGGAGGCCATTAAGAGGTGGCGGTCGGAGCTTTACAAGTAGTATCAGAGCCGAACCCAGACGAGTGTGAAATCAAGAGGGTTCACACCGTCGGGGGTGACGGTCTTGGTATGCAACGAGGACGTTGCGATCTGTTAGTGAGGGTGAATTGTAACACCCGGTTTCAGGAATATGGTAGGGCATGCAGAGAGGTTTAAAAGAATTGATTTGGCCACCTATGTCATCAATAGTGCACTTATCTTTTCGGTCAACTGTTTTGAGAGAACTCCATTGTTAAGGGTGTTTGAGCTAGAGCAATTTCAGGATGGGTGACCTTCCGCGAAGTGATTTTCAGAACTGTGTGAGTGAGGACAAAACACAGGAAAAGATCATGTGGTGATTTATAGGGTCGATAAACAAGTCTTTAAAACTTCCCGGACATAACGAATCGGTCGTCGGACACGGATGGGCCCACGGGCCGAGATGGACACTAATTACAGTATAATTAGTGAGTTGAATGAGTTAATTATATAGTTAAGATGATTAAAATTAGAAATATTACTAAAATGATATTTTAAAATAATTTAATAATAATGTCATGTAAAAATTATTTAGAGGTAATTGCTTGTTGATAAAATTTTTTATATATATGTTATTTAAATGTGTAGGTAATACATTTTAAATGCATTTAATTTTGTTTAAATATAAGAAAATTCTTAGAAAGGTCAAAAATTCTCAATAAATGTGGGAAACATTATGATGGTATACTTAGTGAGATGAATGAGTTAATTATGTAGTTAAGATGACTAAAATTAGAAATATTAGAATTAAAACAAATTTCTAATGCACCAATAGGGTGGGAAACAAAACTCAATTTAGGAGGATTATTTAGTTACTAAAATGATATTACAAAATAATTTAATAATACTGCCATGTAAAAAATTATTTAGAGGTAATAGATATATGTTATTTAAATGTGTCGGTAATGCACAATTAAGTGTAGTAAGTGGTCGGTCAACCACGAACATGGGAGCGAAAATGTTACCAAAATAATTTGATTTAATTCTGTTTTATTGTAAGATAATTCTAAGAAATTTTAGAGGACCTAATAAATGTAGAAAATGTTTTAATGATATAGTTATTTAGCTAAATGAGTTAATTGTATAGTTAAGAGGATTAAAATTAGAAAGATTTAACAATAATTTTGAATATAATGATATAATTAAATCTAATAAAAATTGATCTTAGTGCATTTAGGTTTGAGAAAAAATAGATGTCAAAATGATGAATGGTACATTATACAATTTTCTGGTTTAAATTTTGTTAATGAAAATAAAACAAAAGAAAATGTGTCATGGGGTTATTTTATTCTATTTTTCTAAAATGTGCTATTTATTTATTATCTTAAATGGTGGAAATAAAAGAAAACCAATAGTGAAAATGTGTATATTAGTTATTTTAATATAATGATATACTTAAATCAAATTATAATAGATATTAGTGTAATTAAGTTTAAGAAGAACAAAAGACACATGTCAAAAGAAGAGATGCCAAAATCTTACTTTATTATATATGATTTTTGATTGATTAACTTAAAAGTATGTAAACGTTGTAATTATCTTATGTCTTACTTTATTTTCTCTACATATCTTACTTTATTGTATAAGATTTTTGATAAATTAACTTAAAAGTATGTAAAGCGTTGTAATTATTATTTAAATATTGATAAAAGATACATAAGTAGAAATATATTTAACTACTAAGAGACCTTACAAAATTATTTAAAAATATTGTCATGTGAATTATTTATTTCATAATTAAAAAAGTAGAAAATATTTATAGAAAGTCACAGTTTCTGAAATGTTAGAATTAGTAATCTTTATTAAAATTAACTATTAATACATTTATTTGATGTTAAGTTTGTATTTTATTGAAAACAAAAACAATATATGAAAATGTGTTTGGATAAAATGAAAGAAGACACATGTCACAAGGAGAGATGTCATGTATCAGTTTCTTAAAGCTTAGTTTTGAAGAGAGACTTTACTTTGTTATATAAGATTGCTAGATCTACTATACTAATATTTCCTGAGAAATTCTCTAAGTCTAACGCTTTAATCCATCTGAATTTACATCGATTTAATTGCTTTGCTTTAATTTAATTTTCTAATATTTTATTTAGCTTAATTTCGAAACTTTTAGCTTTCTGTGTGAACAAAATTTTTATGCGGAATTCGATCTTTAAGTACTATACACGAACTTTTATTTGAGAGAGTTGGTTAAGGCTAATTTGAGCTTATCAACCTAAAAACGAAGTTTGTACAAAGTTTGTAATTATCTCATCAATTTTTTTTAATAAAATACATGTGTACATGAATAAATAATGCATGTATATATTTGTCCCACCTCGTTTTGTAAGTATAGAGTATTGAGATAAATACTAATTAGATATACATAATGATGTATCAAGCTAGAATCTATCCTATTAGGATTCTAATTGTATCAAAACAGAGATGAGAGGATAATGTCTA